TCTCTAGAGATGTTCGGAATGGCATTTCCGACTAAATCTAGAGATCGAATTTTCCCATTATTACAGTATTTTTACGACGAGTACCCAAAAAGTTAAAAACTGTTGGAGGAGAAAATAATAAAGGTGATGATGAAAGAGAACAAGTAGATGAAGAAATAAACCCACGCGTCGCAAAATCAGTACTCCCGTTTCAATATTCTAATCAATGTCAATAGAAAAATTATTCAGTCTCTTGAAGAAAGGTTGATAGTTCTTTTATACAACTGAATTATATCAATTGACAGCTCGTAAAGGAAAAGTAATTGCTTCCTCGTTATCAACTTATTTTATTTGCCTATCTCCACTCATTACTGGGATCATATGTTAATATTTATATTACATATTACATGTTAGGTAGATTCCTCACTTACTCAGGTTTTTTGGCGACCAGCGACCCCCAATGTCTGGGGTACGCAGCTAACTCATTCGAGTTGAGAAGTGTAGTTCGAAATGGCTTTGAAGGCCGCTTGTTGTCTTGAGGAGGAGGAGGTATTGCAGTGACGGAATCAGTTTGGGAAATGAGGGAATCTTCAGACGAACCAGATAGCGATGTATCAGAGGTCTTTTCTCTTCCTTGCATTGATTGCATTTCAGTTGCATTTTCTTTTGATAATGATCTCCTCTTCGTCAGAGACAATCTACTAGCCAGGTCCTTAATGGAGCTCTGCGATGCTCTTTTTTGATCTGGTAATTTCCCTTTATCTTTTTCATTCTCCTTTTTCCCCATTTTGGATTCTCTAGAAACAAAATATCAACTGAATTATAGATAAACGTTTACTGGGAAATTATTCACAAAATTAATTTCAAAACTGATGTTCTCTGCTAAGCTAAGAAATGTTTACATGGTCACCTTAAAATACGAACTATACACAATTCATTTGTTTGCTGAAGGAGAAACTACAATCCACGGAGAAATATGTAGCATTGCGCATTTGCAACTATAGTCAAAAAGCACTCAAAATCTACATAAATCATAGAGGCCAGAGCATGGCCAGAGTACAACTCAACAGAATTCACCGAGAGACGTGGAGAAAAAAAAGTGAAACGAGACTTTGTGAACAAGTGAGATCACTCAAAAGAAATAGGTCATTCGATGTCTCGAGATGATTTTATGTGCCACAAACTGAGAGTTTGAATGCATGGCTGTCCATGAGATGAGCTCCGAATCTCATTTGATGTTGCTCTTTAATCCGGGGGAAAATTGTGTCGCCATGATTGTGCGTGAATACTCTAACTGCACGTTTTCTGAAGTTCCAGAACATCTATCATGCCTTTTGCTAAATCCATTTCATTGAAGTATGAAAAATCATGAACTATATAATAATTCATAATAATACAAAAAGATAAATTTATTCATAAATAAGAATGAATTATGAAAAATAATGATTCATTGATGTTCTTGGGCACGTCAATTGTTATGGTCATTCGTCCCGTTAGTGTAGTGAATGCTTTATCTCGGGAGGTGGCGTTGTTCTCTCCTGTGAATGGCGAGATCCGGCGCCGAATTATACGTCGTCTTGCGAGGGTTTTCTCCCATCAACAGGGAGGATTCCGCCCAAGCCGGGACATGCTTTCATCTCCCAACTGGGCTTCCGTCATGTGTGCACTGGCGGATCCTGGGGAGATAGAGCCATGTCCCCCCCCCCCAAGTTTTCGTTTGCCTTCCTTTATTTGGCAAAATTTATTAATGTTAGAATTACGCTATTATTTAAAGAATAAATTGTATAGATATCTACAAGTACATAAATAATATAACAATATAACAAATATGTTTATATTTAATGAACATCTACGACGCTTCCCCCCCCCGCCAATGATTGGCTTGGATCCAGAGCGCTAGGTTCCGTTCTTTTTTATTGGGGGGGGGGGGCAATTAAAGGGCGCTATTATAAACTGTGTATTAATGCTTTAAGTTAATTGTGCTTTAATTATATGCATTGTTTTCAATTTTGTTAATTATTAATTGATTAGTATTGAATGTTATTAATTATATTAGTTGAACACAGAGGTGACGATTCTCATTGTTATTTGAACGGGCTGAACTGTTTATTCAATGAATCAAAATCTCAGAGAATCAATCATCAAAATATCGAAGGTGTTTATAATTTATTATGATCACAAATAGTTATACATTACTGTAGGATACATATTTTAAAATCTACATTAATAAATTAGTTTAATTAAAACGCAATCTTTGTTTTTTGGTGAAAGAATTTATAGTTTTAGTTATATCTAGTCTATAATAAACAGGAGTATTAATTTAAATATGACTAGGATCCGGATGTTTCTTACCTAAAAGTGTTTGAAATGTTGAAGCATTTATGATCGAAAAATTATGATCTTAAACATGACTTCAAAAATTTTTGGTTTTGCTATAAGCATGATCTCCGACCAATTTGGTACTTGAAAACAGCGACATCAAAATCGCCAAGTCGCTGTTTTCAAGTACCATATTGACCGGACATCTTGCTTATAGCAACACCAAAACTTCAGTATGTTTTTAAAATTGATATTCTTTAAAAAACTTAAGAAATCATTAAACATTTTTAAAAGTTTCAAAATTTTTACTTAAAAACAAAAAAAAAAATGTAATTTTTTTTTTTAATTATTGACTAAAACTGAAACATTTTCTCTCTTCACACCTTCAGACCATAATAGATTCATTGTTAATGCAAGGTAACAGCAATTGTTAAGTGATTAGTTCTGTCCAATGTTTCACCGGAAATGAGAAATTTATCTCCTGCTGTCTCTCCTTAAAACACACCCAACAACGACGTAAAAATATTCTTTAAAACGATTGCCATCAAGTATGCGATTGCAAACAAGTATATATTTTTCACGGATATAATTCAAAGAAAAAAATATAATATGTCATAAACATCTAGGCCCTGGTTACTACTCATGATTTTAGGAACGAAACTGTTTAATTCCTTAGTAAATAAAGTTTAAAAGAAAAATATAATTGAAAGAGAATTCATTAATAAGGGATATTCACAGAAACGCTAAACATCCCGCGCGTTTTATAATACTGAACTAAAGTTCACCAAATTATTAATGTATGTTATTAGCTCTGCTTAATACAATTATTGTTCGCTTAATTATTATTCTGTCAAAATACAGAAATCAGTAATTTTTTTTATAATATAAATTTGAATCCCTTGAAAATTGGAAATTATGTGTGTGTGTATTATATATATATATATATATATATAATATATATATATATATATATATATATTTAAAAATTTTGTCCCAAGATTAGGAGGGGGGGCATTGCACCCTCGTGTCCCCCCCCCCTGAATCCCACCACTAGCTGGATCCGCCCCTGGAAATGCAGTGCATGTGAGTGTAAATCAGGGGTGAGGATATAAGGAAGAAACAGGAAAGATAGCGCGCGGTCCGTGGTCCATTTGTTAGAGTACAGCTCCGGTATCTGCTTGCTGAAGTGGTACAAGAAAAAACAGAAAACTATTAATTCGAGCAGCTGGTCGGTAGAATACCCCTGCAGACAGCGACTTAATAAGCTGAATGAACAATTCCTTGGGAGATGACTATGTTCGTATGATTGTCGCAGATGTCTGTCAACCGCGTGGAAGGGTGACATTTAACCTTTAACATTTGTTTTTAATTGATATATCGCATTTTGAACTTGTTTAATTAGTATAAAAGTTAATATATATCACAAGTAAAGGTAATACATATTTCGTATATTATTGTATTATTAATTTTTACGTATTATAAGAAGAAGGTTGAGGTACACGTTACGTAATTATTTAGGACATATCCAAAATACAATTTACTTTACGTAATTTAAGGATGCCCTTTGGACAGTCCTTGGGGGCACATTGCATTCGACAGCCGTTCCTGAGAACATGTTGAAATAAGTTTGAGCTCAGCACGTTTTCATTCATTAGAAAATATTCGAGTAAGTTTTCAACCTTATTTGCTGAGTGTCCAACTAAGAAAATAATAATTAATACTTCAACGAATCCCAGATCTCTATCGATAAAAAAGTATTAATTTTTTCACAGTAATTCACGATATGTGCATACTTTTTCTTTCATAAGTCAAATAAATGTACTCATGAACGTTGTAATGTTTACATTAAAATGTGAAAGCAAACACCACTGGCGGATCCAGGGGGAGGGGGACATGGCCTCCTCTACCGATGCGAGAGCTCAAGAAAACGTGCGCGGATAATACTATCAAAGCCCTTAAGTCGTTTCGGTGAATGATCGCGTGCAAAAATAGGTGAGAAAAAGCAAACAAAAAAACATACCGAATACAAAAACAGTGCTTGGTTCTGCTGTTAAAAACATTATGAACATTCATTAGAAACATAATGAAAAGATCTCAAACATTTTGAATAATTGAGCTAATGCTAATTGTGTTAACAATCATTTAATTAATGGATGTTCTTTCTGTTTCTTGCAATGCTGCGTGTAATTTTAATAAGTTTATTGTTACTACAAAAATATTTTGGAATATAAACGAAACATTCTGAATTTATTTGCTTTGTATAACTCACATGTCATACATAAAATCAAACCATGACGCAGTAATATTAAGAAGTTTTATAACGAAATGGTATGTTGAAATTACAAAGTCTATCTTTTCAATTTATTTGCTAAAGTAATGGATTTCTTTGAACTTTTCAACATATTAAGTGGCAAAATAGTCACGCTAAATACCACAACCAGTAGTGCATTGGCAGTATTTTTGTGTATAGTTTGTTTTGTGAAAAAGACGCAAAAGTAAACCCAACACCCCCTGGAGATATAGGGGCTGTAGAGGCAGTGTTGGTAAAGTCTGTATGTAACGCATGGCGAAGCAGTGTAATATTCCATTTAATACGTTCATTCTGAAATACTCGTTACTACAGTTTTGAAATTGCCTTCGTGATATCCAATTTCTCTTATTCTTTAGTTGCAGAATGGACGAAGAAACAAGATGTGCTTGAGGAGTGTCGCATTTCTTGAAATCAACATGATGAGATCCTGGAAGAACAATCTGCAAGCTTTTCAACACCCGTGCATGGAAATAACTACTTCCGTTTACCGTTTATTGATTGGAAAGATAGTTTTGCATTACCCGAACGGCATCAATGTAGTAGGTTACATTGCGTGGTGCATTCCAAGACGTTCAAAACACTGGAAACCGTAAACAAAACATTGGCGCAACAAGAATTAAAATGGCTGCCTATTGCCTATCAAGAATTATCTCAAAATATTGAGAACTTTACTTTACGTTTGTATGAACTCGTCCAGAATAAATAATGCATTCTACTCGAATGAAAGTGTCCTTTGCATACCCAAACAGAAATTACAAACTGTCGGTCAAAGCTCCCACCATCTAATTATCCATAATTATTTTATTCGTACGCCAAATTTTGTAAAAAACTAATTACGTAAATGACTATTTTGAGGAACTTTATGTTCATAATTTCCACATTTATTGTAAATTTACCTTCCTGATAAAATAATTTATAATTTTAATCATATTTACTAAGCATTAATAAAAATTTTAAATCACATCAAATTCAATTTACGCTACAAAGGAGCGACCTTATTGTGGGAATGGAGACATTGTGGAGCATCGGTGTCAGAATACAAATTTCACAAGATTTTTTTCCTCTTTTGTTTAGTTTGATATTATTTATCAAATTGATCATAATTTATATCAGAAACAACAGTAGTTACGACACTGTTCCGTCCTATCAAAAAGTTATACGAGACT